AGTTCTAGGAGATCTGACGCCCTCTCCTGGCCTCTGCAGGCACTGCACACACATGTTGCGCAGGCACACATGTAAGCAAAACACTGACACTTATTAAAAGTTCTTTTGGGGGGCTGGAGAGATGGTTCAGCGGTTAAGAGCACTGACTGCTCTTCCTGAGGCCCTGAGTTCAAATCCCAGCAACCACATGGTGGCTCACAACCATCCATAATGAGATTGGATACCCTCTTCTGGCGTGTCTGAAGACAGCTACAGTGTACTCATAAATAAAATAAATAAATAAATCTTTAAAAAAAAAAAAAAAAAAGTTCTTTTGGCCTTACAAGCCATACAGAATGCTGCCGCTGTTCATCTCCACAGACAACAGACAAATGGATGTGGCTGTGTAGCAATAAAACATCCCTCATTAACTAAAATTTCAATTTCATGGTATCGTCATCTGCCACAATGTTTAAAAATATAAAGATGCCTCTTAGTTTTGGAGCTTTAGAACACAAAATGTACGTTGGATCTAGAGACAATCTTTCCTACAGCTGGACCACAGCAGTGAGCATGACTAGCACTTTCTGAAACAGGCTCTGCAGAACTGACTGGCAGCTTCTAAGTGACATCCAATTACAAGGACACAGCAAGCACTATCTATCGAGCTCACGCACTAACACTGACTCACATCAGTAACTCATAAAAAAAGGGCTTTGCTCCTTTAAAACATTGTATTAAGATCTTCTCGCTATGCAGTGATCATTTCTGCATCAATTTCAATTGATAAGCAGTTCTACCTCTTCCCTCTGTCCTCTAGACAAAACTTTATTGCCAAGATGATCAAAATGCAATAGAATCAGTAATCATTCACATAAAAGAACAGATTTCTAAAAAGGCTATTAAAAGGATAAGCAATACTAAGTTTCAAAGGCCTAGAAAAATATATACCCCTGTTGGTCTTATAAATCTTTCTAAGGGCTTTTGGGCAAAAATGACCAAAAATGTACAGAAGTGTACAGAAGTTTACATAACTTTTGACTTAACATTTACACTTCTAGGAATGTATCTTAAGGAAACTATCAGACAAGTCAGAATGTTGCATGTATAGTGAGTTTATTCTTGGAAGAATTGTATATACTCAGCAAAAGATTAAATCCATTTAAATGTTCAACAGAAGGTAAATCATGGATGGCAGGCAGACAAACAAGAGTTATGATTATGAGCAGCCACAAAAAAAAAAAAAAAAAGGCAAGCACAAAGTAACTGACCCCTGACACAGACACAGCCCTAGGACATTGGTAAAAAACAGGCATGTTACATTCCTGCCCATGGTGTGAGAACAGGTACTATTGTTGAAGAGACAAGACAGGAGAGGCATGAGACAAAGAAAAGACAGCCTGCACTCCATGAAACTCTGATCAGAGCAGCTCCTCACTGGCTTAGTGACTTCTAAATGTCGAGTTAAAAGAATGTTCGACATGCAGAGATGCCTGGATGCTAGGGGTTTAAGTCAACTGTACCTTCTGGTGAACTTTTTATATACTCTCATACTATTGTGCTTTATGGTAAGCACATAGTTTTCATTTTTGTTTTCTAATTTCTGTGTGTGTGTGTGGTGTGTGTGTGGTGTGTGTGTGTGTGTGTATGTGGTGCAGGTAAAGTCAGAGGACAACTTGAGAGAGTCAGTTTTCTCCTTCCACCATGTGGGCTCAGAGATGGAATTCAGGTCATCAGGCTTGGTGGCAGCACCTTCACCCAGTGAGGCACCTTATTAGCACTGTTTAAATTTTTAAGGCTTATAACTGAGCCAGGTGCACATGTCATGAATCCCTGCACTGAAGAAGGGATTATGTACTGAATACCAGAGATACTGATGGGTGAAAAACCTGTAGGTATGCAGGTAAAATGGGTAGAAATGGCTTCCAAATATGTGTACTGTGTAGAGACACAGGGCACAGTGGGGCTTTCAGGTTGTGGCTCTGGCTCTATGGATGGAAGAATGCAGGTTATAAATGGGTTTCAGGCTACAGCTTTCCTCTAGGGCTCTGTCTTGATCTGTAATGCTTTCCTGTATGCTATAATAGAATAAGAAGCTCCCATCAGATATACAGAGCTCTTGGTTCTTGAACCTCTCAGCCTCCATGATGAGCTTCTGTACATTACCCAGGCTGTGGCACTTTACCATAGCCAAACAAAACAAACCGACACAGAAATAGTTCCACTTTCCAATCAGTTTTTCTCTGAACCTAACATTGCTTTAAAAACTAAATCTAATTGAGATATAGAACAGTGGTGTATGCCTGTATCATCAGCACTCAGGAGGCTACAGCAGGAGGATAGCGGTGTGTGCCTGTATCATCAGCACTCAGGAGGCTACAGCAGGAGAATAGTGGTGTGTGCCTGTATTATCAGCACTCAGGAGGCTACTAAGGCAGGAGGAGTTTGGGTTTGAGGCTAATTTACAACCAAGGCTCTGTTTCAAGGCAATAAAAGCAAAATAAAACAATCTATTCTTTAAAAATTATTAGAATAAATCTTACTCAGAAATTAAAAATAAAAATCTGTTCATTAGCAATCACGTGAGCCCAAAACTTTATTTAAAAAAAAAAAAAAGCCCAAAGCTTTTTATCAGCTCCAGGCATATAGTAACCCGTGCCTGACATTCCAGCACATGGAAAATATAAGTCAAAGGATCCTAGTTCAAAGTCAACCTAGGCTGCAAAACAAGACTCTGCCTTTAAAAGGGAGGGTAGAACTTTTTATCATGGATGGTTTCAAAATTCTGATATTGCTCAACACACCAGGATGGTCAAAAGAAGTGTTACAGACAGTCCAGAATGTCAGGTCCCCGCACTCCTGCTTAAAGCAGATCAAAGCATGCTCTCCCCTCTAGAGAACCTACCTCGTGCACTCACCCTGAGCATTCTTCATCTTTCTCTGGATTAAGAGGAATGTGAATGCTTTCAGTGAAACCTTGGAGGACTTAACGAGTCAGACAGTCAAGGGCTCAAGAAAGGCAATTTGACACTTTGTCTTAGGTGAGCACACAATGGTCTACTAGCTGGGATGTAAGATTCCACTACTAAGTTATTTTAAGTAGGTCTTAAGGGGCTTGGATGGAAGAACAATCAACAAGATACAGTTCTGATGATAAACTCTTTCTATGATATTAGGAAGAGACTTTCTGATACAAGTCTGGTGATATGATCAATAAATTAATAGGAAATATTTTACATTTTCAATTTATTTATGACAAATATGCCCACTATAATTGGTATTCCTGATACCTTGCCATATGCATGTATACACACCTAAGTCATCTATATCCTATTTTAACACTTCTTAAAAATAAAAAGCCCTTTCAGATGTGAGAAATAAGTGAAACAGATTCTGACTTTTCTTCCTTGTAAAGAAAGTCAGTTTTCACAAGAACAAGATGTAAACTTGAACCTGACTAGAAAGAAGTGATACTTTCACCATGAGTTACAAATTGAAGCCATATATGCCAAGTCTTAAGTGATCAGCACTAGGATGTATGTGTAGAGGAAAATGAGTCCCCAGTGGTTCTTGGTTGCAAATCACAATTGTGAGCATACTATACATGAATTTGAATGGAGATAATAATTCTCACAAAACTTGAGTGATGGTTTATACAGCATGTCCAATATCAAACTGTTACATTGGATTCAAGGTGCCACTGAATTCCCTTTAGCAGTGATGGCATCTGTTCTATGCAGTACTATAACACAGGCTGTAAATAAGCATGTGATTTTCTGACAGTCCTCACTTTGATTTCTAACCAGGTCAAGCATGCCTGTTAGCTACTTTTGAGAAACTTTTTAAATTAATCAGGTGCTTTATTTGACAGCAAGATTGTACAGGCAACACATTTTTAATAATACTCAAGATAAAGATATTATCTTCAACAGTGAAGACTTGTTGTGACCAGGCCATTTTTCTACAATTACAAAGCTCTTTCACTTCCAAACAGTCCTGATCCTTGTGGTAAATTCTTGTTTCCCAAAGCCCCCAGGGTTCACAGTCAGATACTATCACAAACAACTGACTCATAAGAAACAAACACAAAATGATGAAACTGTCAGATCAAGCTATAACCTTTACAGCCTTAAGAATTAACACACACACACCCCCAATGCCCTGAGATTCTTGGGAGGTATGTGCTCACACATTTCACTGTCAGGCTTTTATATGTCAACAAGTATGAAACAGATATGATTCCTTCTCATTCAAAATGGAACTTGTAAAGGAGTCATTCCCTGAGGTGCTTCCCAGGGCACTGACCTTCAGAATTCCATGCCAAACCCAAGAACACAAGTACCCTAACGAAATGTTTTCAGTACCCCACTCTTTAAATAGAAGGCTTCACAGCACATAAGTTACGTCAGGAACTAGTGTAGAAGCAGAATCTGGCCCAGGCAATCTGGAAGAACATGTGTAACTGTCCCACTGGTCCCAGGAGACGTGTGTGGCTCTGACTGCATCTCCCCCACTCAGGCCTGGACCTGGAGAGCAAAGACAGCTCCTCCTTTACTGAAAGCTTCTATAAAAGGCTGCCACTTCCCTGCTCTGTCCTCCAGAGTTGTTGAAAATATATGAAGTAAAAGAAAATCCTTTTGTAAAATTAAAAGTTCAATGTAAATGCGTCACATTTTCTGACATGCAGAGAGGAATTTAATACTGTTCTTTGCAGCTTTTGGAATGTGTTTTATGATGTATCTGTGTCATTCATAAATGACACAGGAAATTAAGGTCTTAGGTACAAAGCAAAATGTCCTTGACAAGGAATACAAAACATAGATGTGCCATTTACCATCAAGAAAAATGGAGCAGCTTCAAACTATACACACATGCAAACATCAGTCTACCCAGAATAGTCATTTTCTCTTTAACGAAAATATTTAACTTGTAAAGAACATATCTAAATGATTGTTCTGACTCCAACATGTCAGATCCTGTGGGAACATGGAGTGGCTTCTTTACACTGGAAACTCTCTTACCTCCCACATGTAGACATTATTCCTAACCTGGGATCTCTTCTTCTTGTCACCAACAAATGGCCCAAACTTTTTCCCTTTTAAAATTGGTTTAGTGGCCCAGACACCTAGAAAATAAAACCAGTATTTTTATAATGCAATGTGGTTATTTTAAATATCAAAAGCATTAATGTCATTCAGTTTTACAAAACAATTTAAAAGCTAGGTTGCTTAACAGCAAAGTAACTGTATTAAGTTCAATCAAACCAAATAAAGTCCTTCAGGGGATTCTGAGTTTCCTTCTGTATGCCCCTCAATATCTTCTGAATAGTCTGTAAAGATCTTGCATTAATTGCAACTTTTTAAAAGTTTATATTAACTTTTATATGTAAAATACACCATATGTAGTACAATCATAAACACTTGAAAATTAAAAGAAAAATATAAATGGAATAAAACCACAAATAATTCGAATTCTTCATTCTGTCTTTATATAGATCTCAAACTGTCCTTACTAAACGAAAGTTGTTCTTATAATGTTCTTATAATGGTTAGGATTTGGGTTTTATAAATAAATACCTTTAAACTTGATTTGCCTAAGTACAGTGGAAACACAATTTCCATTCATTAGCTTTGTAAAACAAAGTTCATGAGACATCTTGCTTGCAGAGTTTCAGAGTCAGCATACATGCTAACCTATGGCCTCCCTAGGATTACGTCTCCTATTCACCTGTCATAAAACCACCTGTCAGAACGTACAGCAAATCAACGAAGATGCAGTCAGTAGAATGGCAGGAGCCTGCAGTCAAAAGAATCACACACTCTGGCCAGGTTCCCTCATGTACAGAGTGGGAGGTGGAGGCCAGGACATACACACTCCACTCCCACCAAAAGTTAGCTAGGAACTGCATCTATAAACACTGACAATCAGTTAAACTTTGAGACAGCCACTTCTGTTCAGACAAAACAATATAAGAACCCCAATGCTCACTAAGTAAAGTTCCGATGAGAATTTTAAAAGTGCAGGTCAGAATCACAACACTCATCAGAAGATCATCTAAATGACAAAAAGATAGAATCGTGATCTATTCAGAAGTGTGTTCTTACAAGATCTTAGAGTTGTATCTAAAACTTACATCACAGACACAAAAATCAAATACAAACAAGCTTGTATGCTCAACAAGAAATTCTAGCCAGCTTACCGCATTCATTCCAATATCCACAAAGGGTTCTTAAATGGAAATGGTGAGACAATGGGTAAGGCAGACTCTCAGTAACAGAAATAGATATAAAGTCAACTGAAAAGTAAGGAAATAAATGTGATAACATAATCACACTCAAGGCTCAGTGAAATCAGAGGAAACCACCCACTCTGTGGGATGAGGCCCATGGAGACGCAGAGGAGGGCACACTGGAACACAGAACCAAGGACAGAATACGCAGGTGGAAGCTGGTTTCCTTTCTATAATCCAGATCCACCCTGGATTCTTATGTAGAAAGTACATACACACCACATAATCTTTTAAGTTAGGGTCAACCTTTTCTTTTTTGGCATAATGCCGACCTACCATGATCCCTGCTCCCTCAGAAAGCCACCTCCTCTTTGCTGCCCGACTCCCACAATGAGAGTACTCACCAATCCGAGTCTTGTCGACTGCAGATGGTAAAAGTCTTACTTCCTCTGGAAGTCCTCGAAGCACGTGTTCAGGTACCTCAGCCAGAGTCTCAGTGGCTGTCACAGACTCGGTGTTCTGCAAGGCAAACAGCAGAAGGGTCATAGCAAAAGGAAGAAAACCAGTAGTGCTTTTTGTTTTGCTTTGCATTGCTCTTTATTCTCATTCAATAAGCAAATAATGAGACCTAACTGAAACTGGAGTGCACAAAGCAGACAGGTGTGGACTTGCTGTGTCACTTGCTGAGCCTAGTAATGAAGCACTAGCAAGCTGCAAGCCAGGGTCTATTCCGCTCCAGCCACATGGATCCAGTTTCAAAATATGTACACCTCTAGCACTGTCCTGCTCTCTAACAGAATTGGGCAGCAAAGCTCAGCTTACACCTGTTTCTAAATCAAAAGCTACCTAGTTATACACTACAACCCTAAGACAATAATTTTGGCACACTCCATGAAAGCCATTTGACCAATCAGATGCTGCCTCCCTCGTGGATCCCTCCAGCAACCTGAGCAGGTTGGACGTTCCATAGAGTCACAACTCACTGTTAGCCCTCACTTCAAGTGGGACTTTCCAAGAAGCAATAGCTGACCGCTGTGTATCAGGCCACTAGACAGCAAAGACCATAAGATCTCAGAGTTGACAGGAAATAGAGAATGTTATACAATTACATCTCAAAACTTAAGCTGGAATTCATCAGAGTCTTAAGAAAGAAGATTAGCATTAAATGTTTATGTAAGGAATAAGGATACTGGTATCAACAAGGAAAACCAGGATGTAGCTTTTAGAATAATTTCCAAATCAAACTGAAAACTAAAAAGACTAATTTTCCTACAGCAATGAACCATTTTAAATTTTTGTTTGTCTGTTTTTGTTTTTCAAGACAGGGGTCTCTCTGTATGGCCCAGAGTGTCCTGGAATTCACTGTGTAAACCAAATTGGCCCCCAACTCAGAGATCCACCTGTCTCTTCCTTTCAAGTGTTGGGATTAAAGGCATGGTCACCACTGCCAGACCTGAAACACTTGTAATTCTTAAGACTGTTAAGTGTGCACCAGGCTTGGTGGAGCATGCCTTTAATTACAGCACTGGGTGACAGAGGCAGGAGTATCACTGTGAGTTTAAGGCCAGCCTATTCTACATATCAAGTTCCAGACAGACAGAAACATAAAACAGAAACACCTTGTCTCAAAAACAGTAACAACATGTTAGGCGACAAGCCAAAACAAAAAACAAAACAACAAAATAAAAGCAAGCAAGCAAACAAGCCATCCAAACTCAAAAAACGCCAGACTTTCAATATATTTAAAAAAAAAAAAAAAAAAAAGATCAATTCCAGCAAGTCCATTCATCATGGGCTGTTCCCTGGCTGGTTTGGAGTCAGAAAGTCCAAGAGGACATCTGTAACATATCACTTCTGAGGCAAGGCCGAACTACCAGTGTGCTTGCTTCAGAAGCACAAATACTTTCTTCTGCCCTAACTTACATCCTTTTCCCAACAAAACCTCCAACATACTTTCTAAAAATAGAAGTTTCAAATTGCCCCCAGAAAATAGCCTCCTTACTTCCAATTAGCTAAAAATATCCATAAACTTAACAGATATTTCTCACTTCTACATATGGGATTCCCATTTTAAAATGTTTTAAGCTGGATATTTGGAAAAATGAATAAGATTTTTCTGCCAAAAGGGGAAAAGTACCAACTTAATAATATCTTATTATGTGATTATCCTATGGTATCAATAAACAAAATAACACCAATAAATATTAGACAGAATTATGAGTGTGTAGGGCTGGCCACTTAGAATTATCAATGAGAGTCTTCCTTCTTCCCTTTCCTCAGCTGTGGCCTACCTATCCTTCCCAAGAGGTAGCCCTACAGATATACACACCACGTACGCACACACACACACACTCACAGACACAAATACACTACACACACACACAGAAACATAAATACTTATCCTCCCCAAGAGGTAGCCTTACAGACATACACACCACACACACACACAGACACAAATACATTACACACACACACTCACAGACACAAATATACTACACACACACACACAGACATAAATACTTATCCTCCCCAAGAGGTAGCCCTACAGACATACACACCACACACACACAGACACAAATACACTACACACACATACACACACACAACTTTTCTAGGAAACTGAGGCCTAGAAAAGTGAAGGTTGCTCACAGCTGACTCTGAACACAAGTTTAACTTTAAAGCCCAAATCCAGTCACTGTGGGCTTCCATTAAGACTCACTGGAATCATCAGAGATCTCACCCCCACCCCTCACTTTTCAGACTCATGGAACAGCAGCAGGAGGTACCCAAGGCAAGGATGACCTTCTACAGGAAATGTGTGACTTCAACAGCTAAAGCTCCTGAAACACCTGAAATATAAAAGACCTCAGCAGAACTGCTGAGGGTGGGGAGGGAGTAGAGAGGGGCTGTTTTGGGTCAACCACTTCTCTGGGGTGTCTTATGTTTTGGTTTGCTTTTGGTCTTGCTAAGTAGCCTTGACTCAGGATCTTCCCACCTCAGCAGCTGATGTACTGGGACGAGGAAGATGAAATGCCAGACTCCACCACAAGTTTTAATGAAGGCTCATCTTTCTAGTAGAAGCTCTGTTCACTGTCGTTGACTTCAGTGAAAATAAGATGCAACTAAATTCACAGCAGAATACTCTAGAAACTGTCAGCCATGGCTTCCTCCCTCCCATCTGCCTACTTGCTGGAACATCTCCACGGCTGCAAACTGCTCCACAGTCTTAGAAAAGCAATGGCTTCAGAAGTAGAAGGCAGGCTCAATGCAACCACCCCCTCTTTCCTTATTTTTCTTTCACAGTTCTTAGGCAATTTTTCATAACTATTTGTATAGCTATATGCTGGATTGTGCATCCCTGTGAGACTATAGCAGACACACTCTGTCTCCCATTCCTACTGTTGGAAAGTCTAAATACGTGTTACATTTACATAGTTGAATAAGTATATGATTCTCTGTAAAATGACTAATGCAACATTTTTCAAAAACATATTTGTGCTGGGTTGTGGTGGCACATGCCTCTAATCCCAGCACTCAGGAGGCAGAGGTAGCTAGATCTCTGTGAGTTCGAGGCCAGCCTGGTCTATAGACAGAGCTCCAAAACAACCAGAACTTAATGGAGAAACTGTGTTTCCAAATACCAAAACCAAACCAAACCGTGTGTGTGTGTGTATTTGCTTACATGTATTCAAATGCACCTCATGTGTGCTTTGTGCACAGAGGCCAGAAGAAGATGTCAGATGCCCTGGAACTAGAGTTACAGACAGCTGTAAGCTGCCATGTGTGTGCTAGGAACCAAACCCAGATCATCCCAAAAAGCACCTCTTAAATGCTGAGCCACCTCTCCATCTCATCACCCTATCTCTCTTAAGACAGACAGATCTGAACTAACAGGGTCATCTCTCAGAATATATTTTTCAATGTATGCCAGAATGTCTTGTCTTGGATTTGTAATAGATGCTCCATAGGGCTGATACAGTTGTCACCCAACTGATCCAGGATCAGGATACATCCCACTCACAGCCACACATCTGTAGTGACAAAGTCCAAAAGTGTTCAAGTTCCTTATATGAAAAGCACAAAACATGCATATGGTCTGCACACATCCTCTCATATACTTTCATCTGCCCAGTGCAAGTTAAACACTATGTAAGCACATCACATACCTTATTATTTAGGGAGCACAGACGAGGGGGGAGGAAAAAAGGCTGTCTGTGTTAAATGCAGAGGCAAGTTAGCCTTCCAAATATTTTCAATATGAACATGGTAAAGTCTGGAGGAGCAGAAACCATAAATACCGAGGCTTACTACCCAAAAATCCTTTTTATTAGAAAATACAATTTTACGGGCGGTGGTGGCGCACGCCTTTAATCCCAGCACTCGGGAGGCAGAGGCAGGCGGATTTCTGAGTTCGAGGCCAGCCTGGTCTACAGAGTGAGTTCCAGGACAGCCCGGGCTATACAGAGAAACCCTGTCTCGAAAAACCAAAAAAAAAAAAAAAAAGAAAATACAATTTTAGAAACAAGCAATTTAGAAATAAACCTTCGAATCAAAAGAATATGTTTTTAAAAAGTTGTCCCCTGAAGCACTTATAAGCTAAACTCTTTTCTACATTTACTTAGACAATATTGGATACACTTTCATACTCTGAATTGACCTGCCTTGGTTCTTATGTGAAACAATCAACTGTTTCTCTTTCTGGTCTTAATCTAAAAGAAACTACAGTATCTATCTACTCAATATTAATGTATTAATATATTTCTGAGTCCCTCTGGGCATCCCATTTGCCCCAACAATGCCTCTCTGTAGTGAGGAACTGTCAAACAACCAAATGCAAACAACGCCCGATGCTCAGAATCCAGGTTAGGAGTAGAAGACGAGCAGTGAGGCCTGGAGTCGAGGTGCCACTTCAGAGAAAACGTGCTAGGCTTCAAGTGTGACAAAATGCAGACAGCCATCGTAGGAACCAAATCATCATTAGGAAGAAGCCTGGTGAACTCAGAGAACAGTTAGGCAAAAAAGGTCAATGTGTTCAGAACAGAGGACATGAGAGAGACAGCCAGAGCTAAGGCAGGAACAGCCAGAGGTAAGCCTAGAGAACAGCATCCACCAGCACAGAGTTAAAGGCGAAGGAGGCAAACAGAGCAGATGTGCTTCCTTAGACTCTCGGGTCTAAGTGTCTGTCCTTGCACTGCTGCAGATAGGCACATCCCTGCTTTGGGGTTTAAGGAGACCTCTGTGTTCTAGACGGAAAATGTTACAAGATTTTTCTTTCTGCTTTCCTATAATGAGGACTCACTCCAAACATGTCAATTGGACAGCAAGCCTGAAGTTTAACGTGGTAAGTTAGTGAGTTACTGAGTCTTTACTAATTCACTGATATCTGTCAATCTGATACCTTCAACTTCCTACTCCCTTAAAGCAAAGAGAGCCAGTCGTCCTCAACTGATGGTCACAAGTTTCCCTTCTTCATTCAATCATTAACAAATGCTTCCTGAGTGCCTGTTCCATGCTGGCAC